TCCCACATTGCGGTTTTTATGGGTAGCTTTCGAGGTTTGTTCCGCCTAAGTAGAAAATAGGGAATTTCCTATAACTCATACAATAAGCTTTTTGAAGCAAGATCTCTGACAAACTGCTTAAAAGTGGCTTAATCTGATATAAATATCCTTGAATATCTAAGTTCTTCGAATTGATCCGCATTTCGCTAAACTTCTACGAAGTTCGCTGAACCACTACGAACTTCACTGCACATCTACAAAGTTCGCTGCTCTGCTTCGTGTCTCGTTGCTTTGTTTCGAAGCTCCCTGAAGTTTCCTGAACATGTACGGAATCCCCTAAACTATTCCAAGTCCAGTAAACTTCAACGAAGGCCGTAAAATTAAAACAAGGTCCCCAAACTTTTATAAGCTTTTCTTAGCTCAGTCAGTAATGGTGCAGCTACAAAGCATGCAGGAGGTGACTTGGTTCAATTCCTGGTCCGGTCTAGCATTTTTTCGGGTTGGAACATTTCTCGTCTTCTCTGGGCATAGAGCAGGATTGTACTTGCCACACAATTATATTAATTCAAAAATTGTCCAGTCATCGAAAACTCTCAATTGATAACTGTGGAAGTGCATCTAGAACCTATAGGTTAAGAGCACGCAATAACTAAAATTCGATAAGCAATAAGCTTGGAATGCGAAGAAGAAGAAGAAACTTTTATAAGGTTCTCTGAAATTAAACAGTGTTCCCCTAACTTCTACGAAATTATATTCTATTAAGTTTCCTGAACCTCTATGAAGTCCCTGAAGTTGTATAAATTTACCTGAATTTCTACAAAATCCACTAAATTTCTCTTATGTTCATTAATTTTCTACAAAGCTCAACGAAGTTCCACAAAAATGTTAGCACTTCTACGAAGCTTCTACAATGTTAACTGCAGTTCTAAAACGTTTCTTAATCTGCTATACATTTTCCTGAACTTATACGAAGTTTCCCGAACTACGTTTTCTTAATTTCCTGAGCTTCTGTAATACTCAGTCTAAAAAAAATCTGAAATATTGAACACCCATCGCTTCCGGTTGCAAATTTTAAAAGTTGCGGCGAAGACATGTGAAGACTTTCCGTTCATCCCGTTGATTTGTTCTCCTGACATCTAGGGGAAATGACGGCTTCGGCATGCCAGACTATTTTCGGCAACACAAATTGAAACACTATTTTCACTGGATTTTCTTACGAAAACACTTCGGTGAATGCATGCAAACGATTCTTTATGCTTTCAGCTTCAATTTGACTATATTTTTACCACTGAGAAAAAGCAATCTAGCAAGGTTTTCTTGAAATGAAACACACGCACTAAAAATTGTAGCTGATTTCGAGTTGCCGATAATAGAACAGCAGATTTACATGCAGTTCAAATGGAACGGTTGCCGAAGAAAAACTGGTTGCCGACAGTACTCGCTCTCACTAGAGAAGATTGGAGCTTTGTAAAAGCGTTTCAAAACAGTTTTTGACGATTCTTTCGACTGAAATTGTTAGAGCAGCTGGCAGCAAAAGATTGTAAACAAACTAATACTGCATATGTGTGCGTTCCTCAGAGAAAAAGGCTATAGAAAGTAGGTCGCTGCTTAGGTTGCCGAGAATACGTAAATTTCTCTATATAATTTTATAAATAATTAACATTCCTTAACTCTTCGAATAATTTTAGAGATCGGTAGTTTTCGAATTACACTTTACTTGGGTTAATGGCGTTTGTGAAAGCGATATTCGTGGTAATAAGGACTGTTCAGTTTATAAAATGGACACACACTTTCAGTCACAACTTTATTATTTGACTACTTAGCTTAATGCTTTCTTCGGCCTGTTTGAAGCACTACTTATAAGCAACATGGTTAAATGCATCCAATAAGCAATGTTTTTTTTTTTTTATATCTTTATTAAGGAGACTTTCAGCCGTTGGCTGGCTCGTCTCCGACCTAATAAGCAATGTATTTGAGGCGGTATGTAGTTTTTACGAAATTTTAAATCACATTTGCTGTAAAATGCTTCTTTTTTTCTTTATTTATAAAAGGTTTTTCAGCCTAAAGGCTAGTTCAGGGATCGGGTGCTACTCAATTTTCTGCGAGTAAAACACACACTGTCGCGAGATAGCACTTTCCTTTCCAAAGAGACGAGAAAGAGCATTGTAGATCGTAAAGCACATTTCATTCTTCTAGTATTGGAGAGCTGCTGCTCCAACAGTGTCTTTCTCGTTTGCTTCTCAGAGAGTGTGCTTTATGTGCCCTTAGCATAGCTCATTTTCCAAGCGTTAACATATGAGTAGTTTAGACACGGGCCCGGTAAACTCAGCGTCCTTGGTTTAATTCCAGTCTGCTCAGCATTATCGTTTTTCATACGGCAAATTAATGAAATTCATTTTTGCTGACTAATAACCAACCGTAAGGTAATATTATATTATGAACGTCGATATTTTATTTCACCGTGGCAGATTAATCAACATTCATGGACCAAGGATGTTTAACTTGGTTTGTAATCACACATTTTAAGTGCTTAAATTTACAAATCGGTTGGTTCTAAAATATTCTATTGGAAAAAAATGATTCAATTCTACGAAAGGAGGTTTTGGTTTTATGGAGCCGTTCGCTAATATTTATATAGGAGATTACGATAAATTTAGTTAATTCAAATCGGGCTCCGGGATATTTCGTCGTACGGCGCCCGTTTCCGTTCTATGGGCTAAAAACCATGGGCTAAGTGGTTTGAGGAAGAGGAAGGTATGACGATGCAAAGTGGAGTACAACGAAGTGGTGTGGAGCCCTATCCCCCTAAATTCTATTTTCAAGCAAAACGATATAGGACTGTTAGCTCCCAAATTTGATTTTCCCGCAACTTCGGACACATCACATCGTGCGCGTGTGAACCAAACTGCGCTAGCGGGGCCTCAAATAAATAGCCCAACCTAGTTTAAAGATTATTATTTGAAAATTTAGTGGACTTTTTTCCATGCAAAACTACAATGGATTCAAGTTGTCTAGAATTGTTTATCTCACACTGGCCCAAAATAGCTTCTTTACAACAATTAAAAGAATATCACTTGGCACTTTAAAAAACTTCTTTAGGAAATGCATCAAATTTGTTGTTTTCTCACACATACATACATACATTTATTTGTACAACATCACATTTAAGATAAGACATAATCAACAATAGTACGCCACAATACCAGGTTTGCGGCAACCGCTCTCCATCCTCGGTCATGCCCAATGCTCGCTAGATCACGCTAAGGTTGTTTTCCGGCATTCTTGCAACAACATGCCCTGCCCACCGCATCCTTCCGCCTTTGGCAACCTTCTGGATGCTGGGTTCGCCGTAGAGTGCAGCGAGCTCGTGGTTTATTCTTTACCGCCACTCACCGTTCTCCTGCACACCGCCGAAGATCGTCCTTAGCACACGTCGCTCGGAAACTCCGAGTGCTTGCAGGTCCTCCTCGAGCATAGTCCATGTCTCGTGTCCATAGAGGACCACCGGTCTTATTAGCATTATGTACATGGTACAATTGGTGCGGGGGTGAATCTTTTTTGACCGTAGTTTCTTCTGGAGCCCGTAGTAGGCACGACTTCCACTGATGATGCGCCTTCGTATTTCACGACTCACATTGTTGTCAGCCGTCAGTAAGGATCCAAGGTAAACGAATTCCTCCACTACCTCAAAAGTATCTCCGTCACAAATACTTCCTAGACGAATCCTGTCATGTTCGGTTCCGCCTACTACCATGTACTTTGTACCACCAGTCCGACCTTTGCTGCTTCGTGTTTCAGGCGGGTGTATAGTTGTGCCACCGTTTCAAATGTTCTTGCGATAATGTCCATGTCGTCCGCAAAGCACACAAATTGACCGGATTTCGTGAAAATCGTACCCCGGCTCGTCGCAATACACCTTTTAGAGCGATGTTGAAGAGTAGGCATGAGAGTCCGTCACCTTGTCGCAGTCCCCGGCGAGATTCGAATGAACTGGATAGTTCACCCGAAACCCTTACACAGTTTTGCACACCGTCCATCGTTGCTTTGATCAGTCTGAACAGCTTCCCAGGAAAGCCGTTCTCGTCCACGATTTTCCATAGCCCTCTGCGGTCGATACTGTCGTATGCCGCCTTAAAGTCAATGAACAAACATGTGACATGTGTGTCTAAATATTATGCAGCCAACCTAACATTTCCGTAAATCTCTAAGCCACGTCTCCCCCGATTGAAAAGTGCTACTATCATCATAACACCGTGCACTACTCGATTGTGCAAACGCAAGTAACACCTGTGCAATCCAACTACTCTCACTTAGGTATGAAATCTCGCTCTCCTTTGTCTCTTTCTCCTTCCAAATATAAGAGACAAGCTCCCGAATTTGAGAGTAGCACCAGTGTTTATTGCAACACTCTGAGCTTTTAGCCGATCCCTAGGTTCACCTCTTGAGCAGAATGCGTTTTTACGATTTTGCTCAACTTTCAGTGTCATTTTTTGTTCTACGTTTACAACTTCAGAAAATTAACAAAGTTCAAGCTACTCAGTGACAGTTTTCATTAAATTTTAAATGAATATATACATTTGAAACACTTGCTCGTTTAGTCATCTTTTTTTTTTAATTAAGTGCGAAACTTGATAATGTCTTACATGTGCGAAATTACAATTATCGAATATTGGTGTCAGCAATCCAAAGCGCCGCGGCGCTGCTTCGACCTGTGGTAAAGAAAGCCATCTGGTCCCGCAGCATGCATTCCAAAGCTTTGCATGAACCATTCGTCCGGCACCGCAATTGCACAAATAATTTTCTCCTTACATGCAATGGAGATACGAGCTGAAAAAAAAGAGCAATAACTATGATTCGCTGAATTACGTTTTCGAATCTAATTAAACTAATTGCCCAGTCTTCTTCGGTCCGAAAACGCAACTAGGTAATTTATCGCTCCCCGTGCCGTTAATTGTGGACAATTGGAATTCTTTTTGTTCTTCATGTAGGAAAATGCAACACGTTTAAGTATTACATTAGTCATTTTATTCGTTCAGTATTATGTTTTATATGCCTATATATACCAGTAATGGTACTAGAAAAATAGTCTTACTCCTAGCCACACAATGCTGATTAATACAAATCTGATTGGAACTCGTTTTATCGGTTGAATCTCTTCTGCTGCCGCAAACGGTAAACGTCGTTAACAGGTGGAGCAGACATAGTTGTTTCATCGTCGCTATCATCCCCACCGGGTGCCATCCGTCTTCTCTTCAAGCCACCCTCGCCCGAGTAGGTACTGTCGTCTACAATCCAATGAACCGCTTTAGCCAAATCGAATAGCTTAATGCTGTTACCGTTTTCTCCTCCGGTTGGAGTAAGTGGTACATCTGGAAGGACTATGCGACTGAAGACATCGGCTAATTTGTCTATGGAGACAAACGGGCCGTGGAAGCAGATTGGCGGTGGAAGCATCGAACAGAGTGAAGCTAAAGCCGGTGGTTGAGGGAAGCATCCACCGTCTAGCGGATGTTCTCCCGGATAGGCGTTCGGTTTCGGTTTGTAGGGAATCATTTGCGCAAAGTCCGGACGAGGCATCTGGTGAGGCTGTTCTGGAGCTTCGGTTGGGGCCGGAAGTTTTGAAGAAATTGGATTCAAAATGCCATTTGTTTCGGCGTACCCGATGGATTTAAGCTCTGTTGCAGAGCATGGGTACAGGTTGAGGAATTTGTAACGATCCACAAGTTGGGCTGTTTCTTTGCCTTCAAATTCTTTGAGCTTTTCCAAAACCGCACTTCTTCTGCGTTCCACTTTTACGATACTGGACAAATCGCCAATATTGGATTCAAATTCCAAGAAACGATTCCAAACTTCAACCGACAGTTGCGGCGTCAATCCACCTGACGAAAGAACTCGTTCAAACAGAACTCTCGTATTGTTATCCTCGTTCAGATGGGACAGATAGTCGATATAGCACATAACATACTCTGGACTACCGCCGAAGCGTTTCAGTCCCAGCTCGAAAATACGGAATGCGATGTCCTTATCCTTGGTGCAGTAATACTCCATCAATGCTGCGGAAACAAAAACGTGATACGTGGATCGTACATCTTCGCGGGCTTTCTTAAAAATGGCTCTGGCAGAAATGATTCCTTCAGCGCGACGTGCAAACTTCATGTATTGAATATAAGCCAACGTGGGATCTATATCCGAAATGGATAAATATTTGTTATACATTTGATGGACTTTCTCGTACTTTAATCTTCCTTCTTCAAAATCCGCATAGGCAAAATAGAGCAGAGCGTTCCGGCTCAGGACACTGTTAATTGCTCTTTCCAAAATATTAGCAGCTTCGTCGGAAAATACTTTAGCAGCATTCAAATCCCCTTTGTCCACAAGCTGCTTCGAACTTTGATCGAGATATTGAGCCGCCTGATGCCATACTGCCGGATGATGTGTCATCACCAGCAAGCACTGTTCCGTAGCAAACATTACTCTTCGCGTTACCAATGCCGTATCCTCGCTTCTCAAAGGGTTCGATTTTTCGAAATTGATATACTTTTTCCACAGTTCCACCTGTTTCAATTCCTCCTTCGTGCCGGTCGGCGGAACCGCTGGCAAATTCCGGTTCAATCCTTTCGTCACAATCTCTAACTCCTTCGCCACCCTGCGAGCATTCATATAGTCCCTCGATCTCTCCAAGCTCATCTTTTCTGAAATGATTGGATTGATATTCTGCTCGAAGGCAATATATTCCTTCCACAAATGCTCTATTCCAATGATTGGCGTTATCACTGCCTTTTGATAAACCTTCCGCACCGCCGTAATTTTCTGATTTTCCGCATAACTACCAATCGCTTCCACACTCTTCAAAAACGAAATGTAATCTTGCCAAATCGAGTACGAGTGCAAATCCATTCCTATCTTCTCCAGTGCGAAATCATACGCCTGGGCCAACTTTTCTTTATGCGTACTCAACCCAGCCTTCGTTTCCTTTACATAGGTCAGATAAAGCTTCCACAAATCAATGTTCAAAATTTTCACCAAACACCGCTGGAACAACTTCTCCACCCTCTCATAGTTCCGGTACTTCATTTCCTGCTCAATGTAAATCTTCCAGTACCTTGCTGTCGTCGGGAAAACGCTAACCAACGACTCGTACAGGGAACGTACCTCATTGATGTGCCGGCTTTGGCCTTCCCGGATCATTACCGACCAAGATTCCACATCGAACGGCCGAACCTCCACGGTTTGCTGAGCCCGCACCAGCCGCTCGTGACCCCACTCGATGTCGAATTTCAGCTGATCCTTCCATTGTGCCATTCCTCCAGCTTGTTTTTCACTGAAACGACGTTCGCCAATCAATTAACTATCCACTTTCGTTAGAATCACTAAATAACAAGCAATAATGCAACGAAAAATATACCTTTTGTAATTTTGATACGAAAAAACACTCCGGCATAAGCGCTGACAACTACTCGTCTAATAGACGTTTTTTGACACAACGCACGCCTTTGACGTACACGAAACAAGGTACTGCAACGTAAGGTGAACGCCATTTTGCTTTTTCGACGAGCCGTGGATTATGTTCGAATGTGTGCGTTCGAGAAAAACTTCGTTTGCGAGATAAACACACAGAGCACAAACGAGAGAGCATAAAAATAACATACCATATTCGTGTGACTGAAAAACACTAAGTAGCGTGTGCTTGTGTAGTTTGCGGCAAAGATACAGAAAATGATAGAGGCAGCAAATGAGTAACGCTTGGTGGGTGGTACCCGAGTAAAGTTGGCGATCAAATTGAAATCAAAATTTGATGTTATGATGTAACTTTTTTTTATTACCCCAATTAATCATGTTTTGTTGTTTTTGACATCATCCACATCCAGAGGACCAGTCGCTTCGAATGTATGAGAATGGTAGGAAATCCACAAATCGTGGATTTTCTGATATTCTCCATACTGCAAAAATGATTTTCCTACCACTGAAGGGGCGACATTTCTCGGATCTACTACTACTCAAATCATATAATTAATTGATCTCGTTTTTTTTGGGTTAAAGGTTGGCACAGCAAAACAGAGGGCATGATTTAACACTGTTGAATTAAAAGGATAACTAATTCTGCTCTTAATGAAATCAATTTGATTACTGATAATATTAAACTGCATACGGGGTTGGCCTTAATTAATATATATATAAAAGCCCAGCGTCCCTCCGTAATGCACCTAGACAATTGAAACAGACGCAAAAGTTAGGCCAAAGATCACAGATAACAGACCATAAAATGGTTTTTATTTTTGAAATATATTTTTTTATTTTTAATATTTTAATATTTTTAATATTGCGCATTTTGCACCAAATTAGACTCCTGTGCAAAAAATAATTGCACAGAAATATTTTCGCACATGCCAGAAAATTTAAAAATCGACTTATTTGAAAGCAGTAACAGCTTTAGAACATTACTAGCAAGCTACACTGTTTAATTAAAGCTCTAGAAAGCATGAAGAAGCTCCATGTTTAACTTTTATGACCAGTGCGAAAATATTACTGTGTACTTATTTTTAGCGCAGGAGTCTAATCAGGTGTGTAATCCGCATTATTTTTATTTATTTTTTATATTTTTTTTATTAATGTATAAAAAAGCCCAGCGTCCCTTTATTTAATTTTTATTTTTTTTTTATGTTAATTTTTTTTTATATTTTTTTTATTAATATATAAAAAAGCCCAGCGTCCCTTCGTTATACACCTAGACAATTGAAACAGACGCAAATGTTAGGCCAAAGATCACAGATAACAAACCATAAAATAGTTTTTATTTTTGAAATATTTTTTTAAATTTTTAAATTTTTTTATTTTTAATATTTTTATATTTTTAATATTTTTTTTTAATATTTTTTATTTATTTTTATATTTTTTTTTGGTTTTTTTTTATTCTTAATATTTTTTTTATTGATATATATAAAAACCTAGCGTCCGTAAATCACCCAGACAATTGAAACAGACGCAGAAGTTATGCCAAAGATCACAGATAACAGACCATAAAATAGTTTTTATTTTTGAAATAGTTTTTTTTATCTTTATTATTTTTTTATTTTTAATATTTTAAAATTTTTAATATTTTTATTATATTAAATATTTTTTTAAATATTTTTTTTTTATTTTAATATTTTTTTTTTTATTTTAAATATTTTTTTTTATTTTTCATATTTTTTTTATTATTAATATTTGTTTAATTTTTAATTTTTTTTATTTATATTATTTTGTTTATTTTTAACTTTTTTTTTCATTTTAATATTTTTTTTAATTTTTATTTTTAAATTTTTTATTTTTTATTTTTTTTTAGGAAAATTTTAAGCATTTTTGGAGTCAAAATATTTAAAACGCTTTTTTTCTGGCCGTAGCTCAATGGTAGCCCTATTAAGTGTCCAGGATCACATTGGCCACTCAATTGGCCATACCCGGACATGATCCGGGTTCGACGAGGGAGTGGTCAGAATATTATGCGACAGATGAAATCAGTTTAGGAACGTTTAAAGCCTACTTTGGAGTAAAAATCTAAAAATTCCTTTTCCTGGCCGTAGGAACGTTTTTTGTTTTTTTAAGCGAAGTACCATAGGTTTCATTCGCAAATTACGTTACGCTTAAATTGCTTAAATATTAGTTATTGGTTAAGTTGGAAAAACAATCCAAGCAATAAATAGATATAAGGGAACTTTGTAGATGCTTCCCTATTGTCATCCGATCCAGCAGAAAACACTATATATGACATTCGCCGTTTTCTACGCTGTTCTTATGGAACGTGATTGCTGCATCAAAAGTATTTAGTGCTGGGATTCAGATTACCTGTGTATTTTGTTTTTGTTTTTTAATTTTTATGAAAGATTGGCAATTAATAAGTTATTTAATACGAAGTCAAATCGCCACATAAAAACCAACCATGTGGTTAATAGTTTGAAGAATATACAGCTAAAAAACGGGGATAAATTTTAGAATTTTTGTTACTATCCGCCTGATAACCAACTCACTGTTGCTAAATATTTATAACTTAAATATTGGGGAATTGAAAAAAAGATTAGCTGTGTACTGTATATTCATATGTACAGCTATATTCCTTTTGCCTGATCGATATTTTATCGAATATTTTAAGTCCTATAGCTATACTTAGGCTGTGTTCCATTTGGTGCATCTGATCATTCATTGGTGCACTTAAATTTCACAGACATAAAATTTTCAAATAAGCCTGCTAGAATAGCAAATTATTTCTGACCGACAAGGAATCAATTTTGACAGACACGTTCTCGAAAATCGTTCATGAGCAAATCGGTGATCATCTCTATACCCCTCACCATCCCTCTCCAATGAGGGAGTTTGGTAAAGAGAGATGATTATCCCGATTCGTACCTTCGTCAAAGTTGTCCTTGCTCGCTTTCTACTCTCTATATATAATTTTCACTCTGCCGTACTCTAAACGGAATTATCAACTCTATACTTTCATCTCCTCATCTATTGTATAAAATGACCACGTTAAATCTGTTATTTGAAACTTGGCATCTTCAACAAATTTGCTATTAATTTCGTTTACCGAAAATCTCGGGATTTTCTGCCGAAATTCGTACATCTGAGCTCCCAACAAAAAATAACTGAGATCTCAGCAAAAGTGACATTTCTCGCGTAACATTTGAAGAGGGTCTATCCTCGTTGAGCGATTTTCTTCAACGACTTTCTCTTTGGCTTACCACGGCAACACAAACGAATTTCTCGCTTTTATTTAATTAGTCTTGGAAATTTTATCGTTGAATCTCAGCAAACAAAAATCGTTTTTACTGAAATCTCTATTAAATTTGCTACCGGTTAATCTCGACAAAAAAAATCAGAGATAGCGAAAACAATACAAAATATGTTCATTGACATACCTGTTTTCCTGAACCCTGACATTGCTTTTAACATTGGTAGATTTGACTTCACATACTCTTATAATATAAACACAATATTACCAACAATCAATACGAAACTAACGATTTTAAATTGGCTCACTACTTGACTAGCCTATTGGTCCCAAGCAAATCGATTAACGTATCCCATTCTAGTCGAAATTCTAGTACTACGCAATGTTTGTTTTGATTAGCTATGAAAGTTTGACAGATAAAATGAGGGATTATTGGTTTTTTCTATGTTTCGAGGGGTGAATCGATTAGCTTGGGACCGAAGAGAGTACCAGAGCTGAGCCAAAAAGATGAGCATGTTATTTTAGGACCTTCTAGTCTTAGAGTTACCTCTATGATATTACTGCATTCACATGAATCCCAAACTTAGTAATGCGATATTACGTCTTATAGTACTTAAATACAATAGTATTCTAAAGATCATTGCACGGAATCATTTAAAGTTGTTTGTACGAGATTGCATGTCGATCTGAGCAAGAGATAATCATGATCGAAGATATGCTCTTTTTACATGTTACGCAAGATATTACTAATTAGACAATTTAAGAAAATTGAAGTATTTTAGGCATACAAAAGTATACAACATCCAAAATATGCGAAAAGCTTTCAAAATATATGAAAATCGATAACAATTTAATTTCATAAATTAATAAGCCCTTTTGTGAATCTTTCAATGGATAAGCCCTTTTTTTTAAGCCGTTGTGTTTGTCATCAGAAATGGTACGCCCTTTGCTAAGCCTTTCCGCAACGTCAAATAAATTCAAAACAAATCATCGGCCCTCCCTCAAGCAGCAGGGCCTTCTGTGTTACCTGACTTATAACGAATGTACGTTGTATACGAGTACACCGAATACAACGTATGACTCGTCTAATTTTGCATAGCATTTGCAATGTAAAATTAGACGAACTATACTTTGTATTCGGGGTACTCGTATACAACGTATATTCGTTATAAGTCAGGTAACACAGTAGCTTTGGTTTGAAAATTTCATCGACCCTTCTAGGCGTATCAATGAAATGAAATAAATGAATGGTTGGCCGTTTTAGCAACAATCAATACGAAACTAACGATTTTAAATTGGCTCACTACTTGACTAGCGTATTGGTCCCAAGCAAACGATTAACGTATCCCATTCTAGTCAAAATTCTAGTACTACGCAATGTTTGTTTTGATTCGCTATGAAAGTTTGACAGATAAAATGAGGGGTTATTCGTTTTTCTTATGTTTCGAGGGGTGAATCGATTAGCTTGGGACCGAAGGGAGTACCATTGGAAGATTGCCGTAAAAGCTCAACGCAGATGTCGCCACTGCATGATGATGATAATGTTGACAGACTGCATATAAAATTCGTGAAAATTAGCGTTAAATCATAATTTTCATCAAGCCTGTGTAAAATCCTTCCAATATAACATTCGAATTGAAGAAGAAAACGTGTTTACGATCAGACTGATGTGCATCTTTGACTTTTCCAGTTGAACTTTCATAATATACATTCATTTCATTTCGCGGCTCCATCAATGCTGCA